TATCATTACCCCTGCCACACCTCCATGCTTCTAAATCCATCCCCCCAGACATCCATGTGTCTCAATCCATCCCCCCAGGCCTCCATGTTTCTCATTAGCTACCACAGTCCCTCCATATGTCTTATTAACTGCTCTCTATGTCTTTTTAGACCCCAGCCCTTCATGTGTCTCATTAGCCCCCTATCCCTCTATGTCTCAATCCATTCATCCCAGCCCTCCATATGTCTCTTCACCCCCAAGACCTCCATGTGCCTTATTATCTCCCTCAGTCCCTCCATGTGTTCCTACACCTCCTCGCAGCACTTCATGTGTTCTTATACCCCCCTCCCAGCCCTTCATGTGTCCCTATAGCCCCTACAGCCCCATGTGTCCCATTACCCCCAGCTCCCATGTGTTCCATTAGTCCTCCCAGCCCCCATGTGTCCCATTAGTTCCACCCCAAGCCTCCATGTGTCCCATTAGTTCCCCCCAGGTATCCCATTTGTTTCTCCCCCCAGGTGTCCCTTTAGTTCCTCCCCCAACCCCCATGTGTCCCATTAGTAGCCCCCCAGCCCTCATGTGTCCCATTAGTTCTCCCCCAGGCCCCATGTGTCCCATTAGTCCCCCCTAACTCTCCCTGTACCTTGCTGTAGTGTGGCCGAGCAGGCAAATCGCAGTGGAGGAGCTCATGCTCACTGTACCCGGTCTGACAAGAAGCAGTTCTATGCTCTCTGTGAGCACTGCCTGTCAGACTGGGTATGGGAAAAGAAAGCTCGGCCACGCTACATTCTGTGACCGGCAAGAGGGGAGCGCACCCCCACCTGACGGTTACTCTGTAAGTGAGCCGTGCGGCCCGCAGGCCTGTGCGCACTAGGTGGCCACACACTGGGAAATTCCACCGGGAAATTTCCCGGTATCACGGTGGGCCAAACCGGCCCTGTTACTGACTAGCAATTCCTCCATTAAAGTCTATGAGAAACTTGTTATTTAATAATTAGAGTTTTGCCCCATTTATTTTAGCAAATAATGTCAGTTACCTCTTCCTTTGTGACTAATTACCAAAGATGTCATGAACCCTTACATACTCATTTGCCCTTTCTTGTGGTTTTTTTTTTTTTATTATGTGATCTGAAGATAGACCATACATAAATTTAGATAAAAAAAATACATATTCTAATGTAGATTATACAGATTACAATCAGTATTGTGATGATTTTTTTTTTTGATTTTTTTTTTATCAAAGGCTTATCATTTTACAAAGGCACAATGTAACAAAGTTCAACACATGAATTATATTCACTGAATTATGATTTCTGGTGAACTCAGAGCCAACTTGTAAGAGAGAGCAAAATGTAACTTCAAATAATCAAATTGTATAAAATCTCCATCTAAGCCAGCCACGACAATAAACTACGGTCCCTATTTAAACCATATCATTTAGCTAAATTTGCATGGAACAATAATAATAAATCATGGCACAGGAGCCATAAATGGGTCCCCTTGTCTTTTCACTGGATTCACATTGTTTAGAATTGGAGCACTAAATCCATCAGGCTCCAGGTAACTACTTTACTACAGTGTAGGAATCTCTTTACACAACGCACTAAATAATTTGATACTAGAAAAAGACTATTGAAGGCACTTGCAATGTATGCCAATTATATTTTCATGTTAATGAATGATATGATAAATGCTTAATGGCTAATTATGCAGTTATGGCCATGTAAGCTTGTTTCAGATGGGTAGCAATTAGGGATTTAATTAGTGACTAGCCTCCTAAATGTTGCCTCTATTTTTCCAATTTTTCCCATCTTATTTTCACAAAATTGAATATCTAGATTTTTTAAAATAAAATATTTACCAGTGACCATCTTTTTCTGTGAAAAATCTCTAGTGCTCAGTGCAAAGATATCAATTGTTTTTTTACAAGAGACCCCAGTTTTTCTTATATCAACTCTAACCGAGTTTGATATGTGTACATGATATGTAATAATATTTGTAATAAAAAAAATAATATATATATGTATAAAAATAAAGAAACAGGAGGAAAATACGTATGTCATTTTTTTGGCTCTTTGTGTTTTGTTTGTAAAATGTTTGTGTAAAATATACTACAATAGCTTTGTTCAGGCATAAACTATCACTCAACTTCTCTTAAGTGGAAGACACTTAACAGCTCATCCGAAACCTGTACTGATCCTGCGAAAAAAAAGAATGCTTTTACATTAAGTATCTGAAGGCTGAATGGTATTAACGTTATATGCACTAGATGACGGAGAACTCACTACATGGGATAATATTTGGTAAATTAACTAATCTGCTTGGACAAGTACAGGAACAGAAAGCTGGAAGCTGTTTCTCAATGAATGTTTACTGAACAGGGCATAGTTTAGGATTTCTTAGTAATGCATGGGATTGTAGTTATGTAAAAAAAGAAAAAAAAAGAAACGAAAATATGATGCTAGGGGTAGATGACTTTTGGGGTACATGCTAACACTGCTAAAGGCGTAATAAAACCAAACACTTCGGGCCAGTACAAACCATTATCTCGAAATCTATTAATAAACAGGGCTATACATAAGACACAAGGTCATGCATTTAGGCTGGAAGAAAGGAGATTTCATTTAAGGCAAAGAAAAGGTTTTTTTACAGTAAGAGTAATAAGGATATGGAATTCTCTGCCTGAAGAGGTCGTTTTATCAGAGTCCATACAGATGTTTAAACTAAAATTGGATAAATACTTGCAAAAACATAACATACAGGGATATAATTTCTAATAAGTGGGGTGATAGCTGCTTGATCCAAGGAGACATCTGACTGATATTTTGGGGCCAAGAAGGAATTTTTTCCTAGTTTGTTGCAAAATTGGAAGAGCTACAGACTAGGTTTTTTGCCTTCTTTTGGATCAACAGCAAAAACATATGTGAGGAAGGCTGAACTTGATGGACGCAAGTCTCTTTTCAGCTATGTAATATAAAAATTGACCTTGTAAAATATACTTTGTTTGGTTGTTGAAGCCTTTACTACCAAGTACTTTTTGTTTGAAAAAATATTATTTAACAATAGATGTATAGCTACTACATAACTGTATAATGAAGCAAATAAAAATGTTTATACAGATTACATTTCAAAATTTAAAACTATTTAAATCTACACAATTTTTATTTTTCATTTATTTATTCATCTTTTTTAGAAACCTTTGGGGAAAGAAAAGTTTTAGACAGTATACAGAGTCTGAAATAGTAGTATGATAGTGTGTTAAAACTAAATCAAAATAATAGTCAAATAAATTTCTTGTAGTTATTTTAATTCCTTAACCTCTTAACTGCGTTACGGCATTCCATGCCGTTCCCATTATAATGGACTTAAAGCAGTTGCGGCGGCATAGAACACTGTAACGGCTTTCTACCACAAGAGCCAGGAGATACTTACCTCCGCCGCGATCCTCTTTGGGATTAAGCTCCAATACCGGCCCAGAACATTTTGGGGGGTGTCACGAATAGAAGTAAGGTGATCATCCAAAGCAGGGATAGCTGTGTCAGAGAAAAGAGTAGGATTACAACCGTTATTAACAAAGAATGGACTATATCCGGAAAAGTCATGGGTAGCATTGTTCCTAGCAAACTCAGTCCAGGGTAGTAATTCGGACCAATTATCTTGTGTGCCATTAACAAAACAACACAAGTACAATTCCAATGATGGGTTAGCTCATCTGAGCTGTGCCATTAGTTTGGGTAAGAGAAATAAAATGACAATTCAATGCCCAACTGTTTATTAAAAGCCCTCCAAAACTGAGAACAGATAAAATATTGTGAGGAATGCCATGTAGTCGGACTATTTCTCGTATTAAATAACTAGGTCTTGTGAGGATGACATTCTCTCTTTCGGCCAACAATTATAGTATAATGGCCAACAATTATCTGTTGCCAATATCATAATTATGCTCAGCAGGAGACAACTTTCTAGAGACGTACCCACATGGATGCAAAGGGGTCTCCTGACTCTCTTTCTGAAAAAGTACAGCCCCTACCCCAGTTTCGGAGGCATCAACCTCCAGTATAAAGGTTTGCTGGTGTCGGGATGTATCAATATGTCAGCAGAAGCAAACCTTTGTTTGAGAAGTTCAAAAGCTTCTTTAGCTTCCTTAGACCATATCATACTGCTAGCCCCCGTGCGTGTCATATTGGTGATGGGGGCTATCACAGAAGAGAACCCTTTGATAAATCTCCTGTAATAATTAGGAAACCCAATAAACCTTTGGATGGCTTTTAGTCCATTGGGTAATGGCCAATGTAGAACAGCCTCTAGTTTATGAGGATCCATCTGAAAACCAGAGGCGAAAATGTTATACCCCAAAAACTGTACTTCAGTCTGGTCAAAGATGCATTTTTCAAGTTTGCAATAAAGTTTATTTTTAAGCAAGGTTTGCAGCACTTGTTTGACATGTTTGTGGTGAGTCTGAAGGTCAGGGGAATAAATAAGGATATCATCCAGTTATACTAGGACAAATTAATAAATATAGTCTCTGAGTACATCATTAATAAAGTCCTGAAACAAAGCCGGAGCATTGCATAACCCAAAGGGCATGACAAGGTACTCATAATGCCCACTCTGTAGTAAGTTAAATGCCGCTTCACTCATGATTTTCCTATATCGTTACCAAATTATACGCACTCCTGAGGTCAAGTTTGGTAAAGACTTTAGTACCCTGGAGTCTGTCAAACTATTTGGAAATGAGTGGAATGGGATGGGCATCTTTAATGGTGATCTTGTTTAATGCCCTGTAGTCAATGCATGGACGTAATTCACCATCTTTTTTAGATACAAAAAAGAACCCTGCACCAGCAGACGTGGATGATTTACGTATGTGGCCCTTACGTAGGGAGTCTTGGATGTACTCTTCCATTATTCTACTCTCCTGTGTGTATATATAAGGCATATACTGCTCCCTTGGGTGGCATAGCGCCGGGTAGCAGATTTATGGAGCGGTCATATGATCTGTGAGGAGGTAGAATATTGGTCTGACTCTTACTGAATACCTCATTAACCTCCCAGTATTGTATGGGAACTTCAGAGGCCTGAGGTGTAGTAGTGGGTAATGTAATGATGCCCACTCTTTTGGTAATGTGCAACATACATCTCTCAGTACAGTCCTTGCCCCACTCCAATATTTCCCCTCTTGCCCAGTCAATATGAGGGTTGTGCTTAATAAGCCAAGGAAAGCCTAATATGATGGGGCAAGAAGGAGAAACAATTATTTGGAACGTTATGTCTTCCTTGTGTAAGGCACCAACGGAAATGTTAATGGGCAAGGTTTTGTGGGTAAATAAGGGTTGAGAGAGAGAGAGGTGATAATCTCTCCTTTTATTATTATTATTATGATATTTATAGAGCGCCGTCAAATTCCGCAGCGCTTTACAATGGGTGGCCGAACAGACATGTAGTTGTGTAACGGACCGTTTTGCCCACAAGCGGTTAAAAACCGTTTAGGCGATCTTCCCCTTTCAGATGCACAGACAGCTACTGCAGTCACCACTCCCCCGAACTGCAAATACACGAATACTGGAAACAGCCGAATAGGAAAAACCATGTGAATAGGTTTACACTCCTAGCAGTCAAACTGGAACAGCATACAATAAATCCTCCCCCAATAATGAGACGACACTTCACTTTGAGGGTTAAGCAGGAACTCACTTGTAATGGCCACACACAGGCTTTTATGCAAGTCCACATGCAAGGGGACATCCCACAGGGTGGGACACAGTACAACCAATCGTTTACAGGAGAACCATAAAACACACCTGTGACGAGACCAATCTCGCCACATTGCATTGGAGAAGCCTGGTTGCTCACCTGTTGCCTTTGGATTATGGCCCCTTGATTTTCCCTTGCAAAGACATGAAAGCCAGGACATTTGGTGCTTGCCCTGTTTGAGCGGTGATACCCCAGATAGCTATGCCATGCAGCCCATTCGTATAATGAAAGACTATGGGAAAGACTTTGGCTCCATGGCAATTGAACTGCATGTGTGTGCTCTGAGCGCCATTCAGTAATAATGTGCGCTCAGATCTGAGCTATCTGGGGATATGTTGAATGTACTTGTTTTGTGCAATGGCTGCACAGTTATATGTTTTTATGTGTTTTATTGTCTTTTGCTGCCATGTGTTCAATGGAGTTTTGCCTCTGTCCTTGGAGATAATTGGATTACTTCACAATTATCTCCAGATAGAAGACTCTGTGGAACCGGTTTTGGGCAGAAAAGCCATGCTTCCTTTGGTCACAAAGGACTACGATCTATCTTTTGAACCAATGGAC